CAGTAAAACGATCTTCCAATATGAAACAGATGTGACAGATTCTGTGGCGTCTTTTATTTCGAATTCACTGGGATATATTGAATCGACATATGAGTGGAAGTAAACATTGTTAACCAACTGATAAAACGTCGTCGATATATCTGAAATTCGAGTTGAAGTCCACAGCAAGTGTTTTCTTCTTCGGGTTGAAGTTTTTGAATAAACTCTTCTTCACAGGAATATAAATAAAGGAGCACAATTAGTGCATAGCGGAATTCCAACAATTTGCTGGAATACCGGAGTATCTGTGTGTAGAATCAAGTAATTTTTTACAAAGTAATTCTATTGACGATCAGTCACAAGATATGAAAATTTTCAAGTTCCATTCTTAAAGAAGAAGCACTAGTCTTTAATACAAAAAGTCTAGTTTTTAATTTATCGTGAGGATTGGTTGTATAAAGTGGAAAAGTCGTGCTGACATGAGAAATTTTGGTAATTTTAAATTTTCTAAAAGTTATTTAGAGTTTTTGAGAATCCACATCTGATTTACACCACTTCTAGAATATGCTGTAGCATTGTACATCTGAAGTTTCTTCTTAATAGCAGTTAATATTTTAGTGAGGAGTTAAGATATTATGCCCTGTGTCTCATCTCTTAGAGACAGCAAAATTATACAAGAGAAAGAACTAGCTAGATCGTACAAAATATTAGTAGAAAAACTGCTTTTTGCCATTATCCCTTGAGTTAAAACTTAAATAGTAAAACACCACAATGTTATTCACCCAAAGACTCTTTCGTGAAATTGCGCAAGAGGTACCTAAAAAACCAAAAACAGGTCTGATTTTACCTTGGTTAGAGTCTGTTCAAGACCTATGCGCTGCACAAAAGGGTACTGGCTGATGCATAAAAAGATAGGGCTAGGAGGGAAAATACTAGAATATACTAGTACTTTTAATGGATGTGTCATGACCGCATACGATGGTTGTCCGGTAAAATCGTGGACAAAGCGCTTTTATCGAAAAATAATTGGCGCACAAAGCTGAAATTTCCAGCGAATGTTTATCTATTATATTTAAGAGCATCTTAATTGTTTTGGTAGAATATAGACAAAAATAAAGATTTTATTATGCTTGAATGTGCACAGGGTTCGGTCCTACGGTGCACGATCAAAAACCATGGTTTCATTGGAGAATGCATGAGTATTATTTCGAAATAAAAGTATTATCCTATTTTTAATCCGCTACATATTATGTCGTCTTTTCGAAAATTTCAAGGCATGTGCTTAATTTTTGACAGTTTCCCGAGCATTTGAAATGGGAATTAAAGTGGTAAACACAACACGTGAAAATGGCGACGTTTGATGACGTTACCGCGCACCGGACAGCAATTCAGTTTGATTTAAATGTAGTAATGACGCCCTAAGAGACTTTAAATGACTACAGAAGAAAAAAATATAAATATCAATAGATCTTTAGTATCAAAGTGAATGGGAGTTTTCTAAGCAAAATCTTTTTGATCGAGTCCCCGGGTAGAATAAAACATACGGACAAACAGCTACTGGCAATAGCGAAAGATGCTGTCACTTTAAACCGTCGAAATAAGATAGCCTATTCAATTGAATGATAGTGAGAGTACTGTCCATTACTTACTAATAAATCTTAAGACGGACCCATGTGTGAGCAAGATTGGTTCCTCGACTGTTTATGGAGGAATAAAGGAAACTTAAGTATGTGCATCAATGAACTTTTTTTAGCAATAAGGAAACATGACGCTGCTTTAGACACTTTGACGTTATCATCCGTCCGCCGTAAGGCGATACCACACATAACATAAAATCTCATAATTTGTTTCTTTATGTGTATATCTATTTGAAATTTGCTATGCATGTATATTCATGAAAAATATACTTAAGAGTGGTAAAAATTTTAGAACGCAGTGATGATTATTTTTCATTCTAGACAACTTGTCCACGATTTTACCGGACAACCCTCGTATTAGGCATACTTATAGATCATTGTCATTTAATGACTCCGGAAAGTACCTCTGTCTAATTACTCTTAAATATAGGTCTAATGCAGCATCCGAAGCATCTGTGCAAATTTGGCCACTGTACATAGGATCTATAATTTAAAAAAAAAATAATACAATTTCCACTTGATTGCAATATCTAAAGCAAATCAACAGATTCATTTGAGATTTTATATGCTCTAAAAGCTGTAATTGATCATTCATCCGGAAAATATGGGTCACATGCAGCTCTGAAACATGACTACGTTTGTATTTCTTGTGGCATTACCCATGAAAGTTTTTGAACATTGGATACGTGGGTACTTGGAATAGAAGTATTTTATAGACTTAGATCTGTTGATTCATGTACAGAAAATAAAGGTGTTGGAAGCACAATGTTTAAGGCAGGATATACTTACTGGATCCGAGAAAGCCGTCTTACTTGGCCTGTAACTTTAAAAACATTTTTTTTCTAAAATACTTCTTCGCCGAATGAAAGTCTTAGAGTTTTTTCATATATATATATATATATATATTGTAAATGTGTACTAGAAGAATAATTCATGAAAAAAATACATAAAAATATTTTTTGACCTGTGGGGCATATTGGAGGGGGGGGGGGTGTTCCTGTCCACAAGTACCTGTGAAATTACCTCCCATTTTCATTATAAATTTCCGTGCATAATTTATGCTTGAATGCTTTCATTTGGAGAAGAAGTATAAATGTGTTAGTCCCATGAATTGATACGGTATACTGAAAAATCCGTAGTCAAACTTAGTATAAAAACAATGTTTTGTTTGTTGTTTAACGTCCCTCTCGAGAATTTTTCACTTATATGGAGACACCACCACTTGCCGGTGGAGAGCTGCAAATTTTGACCTTTACTCGGTACTCAGGGCCATTGAGCAGTGAGGGATATTTTTCGTGCCAGCATCTACTGCGACACGGGACCTCGGTTTATACGGTCTCATCCGAAGGACCAGTCTCCACGTCCCAGTGGGATTCGAACCCGCAACGTAAGGATTATCTCCTTACTCCGTGACTCTCGAGCAGACGCTCTACCACTGCGCCACGCGGGCTATAAAAACAATGGCTTAGCAATTGGTATGAAATATGTCAGTCAAAAATACAACTAAAAATAGACTGTGTTTGCAAACAAGGTCGTCACAGCCATAGAAGTTGCCAAAAGCTGACGTTAAAAGAGGTTGCTGAAATCCTGTAACATCAACATATCTGTCAGTGGCCTTCCTGAATTATAAGAAATGGATAATTATTTAATCCTAAAATAAATCTTTCTCTCTCAGGTACTAAACACTTTCAATACTTTCATTACTTTGATTACTGAAGTTTGGTGTTTTTTTTTTAATCCTAGGGGGTTTCCATGTCCATTTCTTTCAATAGTTAGGTGGAGGTGCATTTCATGTGACTTCATACATTTTCTTATGCAAAAGAAGAAAAAAATTAACTTTATTATATTTTTCTATATTTTTATTGTAGTAAAAACTAGTAGAAAAACAAAGTTTCAAAAGGGTGGAAAATCTGGATATGAATGCTGGAACAACTTGACAACAAGAACAGGCTCAATGGAAGGAAGAGTTATTTGAAACAAGATATAATACAGCAAGCTCACATAATAACATGATTGTCACTCTACATGTTGAAATTCATATGAAAAAATCCTTCATCCATTCCATCAAAAGTGATCTAATAAAACTTTCTTTTAAAATGAAGTCAATAGACCCCATAATCATATTTGCAAAATACAATGATTGTCAAAGGTTAGACACACACAAAAACAGAATAGGACAAGACTTAGTTCTTGTTTTGGTAAATAAGCCAATATATCCAGGGTATTCAAGTTATCAGTGTTTCACATACCAAAGTTTTACTGTATTCAGTTGCAAACAATGAGCGCAAAAAAAAGATATCATGTTTAAAAAAGCCGATTTCTGTGTAACCTTCCTTCACCTACACATATCCTGTTTAGTCATGAAATAAGACCAGCTGCTAACTTGATATAATTTTATAAATAATTAATAAATCATGTATTTTGTATGGGAAGAGCTCTAATTAACAGTTCCAGTCTTAAAACGTGATAAATGTTAATATATTTTGATTTCACAATCAATCATCTTTGTGCTTTCCTCAAGCAAAACCCCTCATAAGAAAATCATGATGAATTGAAGAAAAAGCAAATGTTTATCAATTAATGATATCAGAAAATTTTAATTTTAAAAAATGTTTCCCCAATCTTTGACACTTTTTCAAATTTTTTTTTTTTTGAAATTGCTGTATATATTTTTGATTATTGCTATTTTTAGGTGCTTACTGCAAGTATGATTCTAAAGCAAATTATTTCTTTCAAGTCAGTTTAACTCCTTCAAATTTTTATTGAATTTTTAAAGTGCATTTGTAAGACCATAAAATGTCAAGAAATCAAAAAACCCTGTGTACAGATGTACATGTATGTATCTATTAAAGTATCTCATCCCTTGATGTTTCCATGGTTGAGCCTTAAAAATTTTTGAAAATAAAATCTATATCATTAGGAACCAAAAGAAAGTTAAATATCGGTATTAAGTGGAGCTAATATTTTAACTCCTTTGGCTCCTAAATGTATGGGTAGAATTAACCTTTTTAATCACTTTAGTTAATAAATGTATGGTATGTGTGCATGAAACTCAAGTCGTGTTTCATCTTGAAATATAATGGAAACAATATTATATTGTATGATATGCAACAACTGAGAAAACATAAATTCTTCTCGATAAACATTAAGCTTTACATACTGTCTAAATACTTTATAGAAGATCGTTTTTAAAAAAAATATATGTTGATTTCCTTTTTTGCTGAGATGAACTTTTACTAATTCCTTTTTTAAATGGTACAAATTCCCTTTTTAATGTATTATCCATCAATAAATATTTATGTCTGCTTTAAGACATTTCTGCAGCAAATCACTGCTTGTAAAATAATCCATTCAAGTTTGAAATGAAATGAGAAATGACAAATATTAACTTTCATCCAAAATTTCCATGAAATTTGGACATGATGTATTTTATGTACATATGATAAAATATGAGACAAAAATGTAACAATCGTAACAAATAAGTTCTGTGTTTGCATTTCACAGAACAGAAATCATGAGCATATAGATATCAAAAAAACTTCACCTATATACATGCCTGAAAGCTTTTGACTAGAATTTGAGATCACAGGAGTTTATATTTACAAAAAAGCAACAGTTCATTTTTGAAGATGAAAAATTTCCCATCATGCTTTGGAACTTGATGTTGTATTGTTCAGTAACTGTAAATATAAGTCTGATTCAAGGAATCGTGGGTAAGAGTCTTTCTCCATTAAAGCCTGAATTTTTTTCTGTGCATCCTCAAATGTATGCCGTGTGGGATGTTCTAAGTTTGTTACAGTTATCATTCGTGTTTTGGAATCCAAATTAATCTGGAAAAAAAAAAATAATTCAATTCATTAATTACTGCATTCTTCAAATATGATTAACATTAAAATATGAAATTCTCAAAACATTAGAACCCCAACCCCTCTCTTAGAAAAATTCTTATATTTTCTTAGAAACTGAACTGGTATGCTTTAAATCAAGCAATTAATACATGGAACTTTGTGAAATCATTAAGCAACTTAAATTCTTGCATTTAGAGCTCTAAAATTCTCAGAATAGATGGAAAGAAGAATAACTATCTACCTCCTTTGGTGCCTGAACAGCCACAAAGTCACCATAGATTTTCTGGCTCTGGGTTGGAAGCATTTTGGCATCTTCACACTGTTTGTACTCTTGACAAGCAATCCAGAATTCTAGGTTTTCCTCACTGAATTCCGACCTTAAAAATCCTCGGAACAACTCTAAACCACCTGTAAAAAGCAAAGGTCACATCTTTACAATTTCTGTTGATATTATAGTTCTTGATTTCTTAAATCATTCTTTTAAAGTTAAGTTTTTTTAGTAATGAGAGAAGTTGTACCTTTATCATTCAGTAAACTGTCGAAGGACCGACTCCACCTCTGAGCCTGGTCAGATGAGGGGCGCATGAAGGACGGGGTGTGACATTCCCCTCCAATTGCAGTGTCTGTATTCCTTCTTCTAAGGAACTGAAATTTCTTTTTCATATTCTTGGCTCTGAAATTAAAAATTGAATTGCATTAATCTACAATTATAAAAAATTTTCAAACAAAAATCTGTAAAAAAAAAATTTTTTTTAAAGTAATACATAAATTAAAATATTTACCTCTTGTGAATACGCATTTTAATAAGAGACATTATTCCATGCATTCTTCAATATTAATGACAAAAGCATACATATGTGACTATATATATATCATTTAAGATGGAGACAAATGACAATCCCTCCTGGTTCAACCAATGGAAACCTTTTGGTAAGAACCACTGACTAATCAATTGCAGAAGGAGTGTAGAGTATAATTTACATGTTCGCTTCTCTACAATTAGCACTCTCTTTTCTTAAAGACTCTGTGTATCCAATATTTGACTCATAGTTCAAAAAGTGGTCCTTTTAGAAATGCATATAAACAATCTTGAAAATTTGCTAGGTATAATTCTGAAGAAAAGGAAATCCAAAAATTTAAAGAAAATCTATATTGCTAAAGATCTATTTTAATATCAACTGCGAGAAGTAAAGACATCACTTACATTTAACCTATTGCAATGATTAATGTAAAATAAGTCCAGACAGTTTTGGCAATTAACATCTAAGAACACTGGAAGAACAAGAGACAATTCATTCAGATGAATTTTCAATGCAATTCTTTATTGTCCTTGAATTGTAAAACTCATCTGAGTATGTAACACCTGTAATTGTTGGTGATCTGTTTTACATCTTTGCCCATGGGTAAGCTCACCTTTAATTGTAAGTAAACAGACAATTCATGCAATGACCATTCCTGTACCTATAAGAGCACAAAATTCACTCAAAATCTTGCAAGTTCTGGACTCAAAAATAACTGTTTTTTCCCAAATTACATGTATTATCCACAATTATCCTTGGTAACATTAAGGTGGTATAGGATACCAAACGAAACTTCTCCTACATATTTATGTACCCATATTAGAAGGATTTGAAATACGCCCACCTTTCAGTATATTAAAGTGTAATTTTAATAATTTTTTATTATTTTAATGAGAAATACAAAAACGATTTTTTTTTCTTGCATAATTCTTTTTTCATAAGCTTAATATTATAGGCAGGCGTTTGCTAATATAAAGTGTTTATAAAAACAAAAATGACAAGAAATATGTCTTAGTATTTTTTTAATTTTCAACAAAAAATAAGCGTAAAAAACTGGGAAAACTTTATTTCTTGAAAACAGACGGATAACATTTCATGAAAGTCTACAATAAGAATGTATCTTAATATGTTAGCAAAGTGAAATAAACAAATTGAAAATATATATATAAATGGAAAATATAAAATGCATTTAAAAATTTTTGAATTAAAAGATCCGAGCGGAAGAGTTATCCTTCTTAATTTTCCAAGGGTTGAAAAAACCTGGGTGCTATTTTAGAAATGATGAGCATTTTTTTCCCAACCATAAAAAAATCGCACTTTGTAGTTTTCAACTTTGAACGGTTCTGAAAACAATGCATGGACAATCGCTTTCCAGGACGTGTCTTGTTCAGAGCAATTGCATTCATCTGAACGTTTTGGGACTACATATGTATATACAACAGCTAGCTGATTTGTGACCAAACAGTTACTTCTTGAATTAAATAACAAAAAAGTCCAGCTCTGGTTAACGTGATAATTGATTGGTGATAATTCAGCACAATTTGAAGTAATCGCACTTATCCATGCCTCACCGCACACAAGGTGCTGTACAGTTACTCAAACAATTGAAATACAGCTTTTGCTTAAAAGTGTTCAAAAGCAGCAATGTTGAAACTACCTTTTACAGGGGTTTGCTTTTTTAAATGTCCGTTGTACAATTATAAGTAAATTTATATACTTGCGATTTTTTTGTCTGTTTTTACTTAAAATGCCGACTTGTGAGAACTTGCATTGAAATAGGCTTCAGAGTGTTCTTTTCAACGGTGTATCTACAAATTTTGACCCGATAATAAGCACTCATGCAAATCAAAACAATACTTCAAACGGAAATACGTCATAACATAGAGGTATCCCATACTACCTTAAAAAAATACTGGTAGTAGGGAAAGAATTAAGCCCATGTAAAGCATATGGTTTCTGCCAAAGAATTCTAAAATATTCCAGTATCCACTGATTACATATGCCAAAAATATTGAACAGTTTAAATAAAGACCTAGTTACGATTTCATAATCTTGTCAATTAAACCTCAAAATTTTAGCCAACACATTCAACAAAGGACAGAAAAATAAGTTCACAAATTTGCGAATTGTCTTCCTGGTATCCCTAAATGGTTGCTAATGTGACAGAAATCAATTTTCTTGCACCATTGCAAGAGCCTTTCTGCCTTAATGTGACAAATGCAGCACTTCCTGTCACCCTCTTTGACCTAGTAACAGCAGAATCCTGACCGAATACCATGTGATGATGACAGTTATGTTGAATTTGTTTTCCATAAATGGGGAGAAATGGCTGAAAGCTTAGATAGGGGACAAACACCTTTTCTTACAGATGTTTCAGAAAATGCAAATCAATCAAATAATTCTAATAATTGAAGATATAATTTATCATTCACATTCTTATTGAACTATCTTTAATCTAACAAGATAATCATGTGACAGATGACCTTTAAAAGGTAGTCTGTCACATGATTATTTTGATAGTCTTCTAGATGACCTATAATTTAAAAGGATTGAAAATATGCATTTCATTCACTATATCCAAGGGAAAAAACTTAAAATGGGCTGGACTGGCCTCTATCCAAAGCTCTATACTGTACATTCCTAAATATACGCAAGGAATAAATTATCGCGTAATCACGTGAGAAGCACCACTCGTGAAATAAAATTACATGCTTTTATTTTTATGGTGCTTTAATGAATGTAAAATTTCTAGATAAATCACACATTCGCAAATTATTTTTCCCGCAATTTGATGCCCTTGGGCCATTTCGTGATATAAAGTACTTGCGTAAAATAAGGAATCTACAGTACCTGATGGAAACAGACTGTCAATTAAATGTTGTTGCAAGAGTAATTCTTGGTTCTAGTGACATGTATTAGCAATTATAACAAAATCACCAAATATATCCAGTCTCAAGATTTCAAAATTTCTGGAGACTTAAAAAATATTACAAAGAAGAGCATGACATAGAATTCAGCTAGTGTGCAATGACAGAAAAAGTAAAGGTGCAATGTCCCCTAACTTAGCATGATCATAAGAGAACAACGTAAAAAAAACACACCTGATATTATCATAAACCAAAAGTAAACAAAGGTTCAATACATGTAGGAAGAAGCAAGGGCAAACCCAGTAATGCCGGCCCACTCAAAAAGAAAAAAAAACTGACTCAAAAATATTCTGACAAACCAAAAGAAAAAAAAACCCAACTTATCCAAAACTTATGAAGAGTCCCTGTTTCCTGGGAGTGTGAGTGTGTGGGGGGAGGGGGAGGGGAGGGGGGGTCGAAGGTAACTACATGTATACTATTTAATTTTAATAACTCTGAAAATCCCAAGAGTGTCCTTGACTTCTAGATCTCCCTCTACATTCATTTTTATCTTTAGGTTTTTGATGAAAATGAGAGAAAAGTTCAACTTAAAATATAATTACTATTCGTAAAAAAAGCCTATTAGTCACAAAGCTCACTGGAGTCACCTTGACCCTGCTGTTCATCATCAGTTTTTAAAATTTTTTTTTGCCCTCTTTATTCCAACGAAAAATAAACATTGTACTAAATAAAATTCATACAACCTTGGTACCTTGGTACATGGGGAATATAACATGATAAATCTTTTATTGTTTATTTAGTGCAAATTATCCCTATCTGATGAATGGACAGACAGACACAAGGTCATCAAAAAAGCTCACTTGAACCTTCAGTTAATTAGCAGGTGAGGTGAGCTAACTATACTGACTGAAGCACACTCTCACCAATGTACATTACATGTATTCATAAGAAATCATACAGAAGCATGGCTAGACAACCATTTGTGTATTTTCTTCATGTAATCCAAACTGTACCTAGCTGTTTTTGTTTGCACAAGAACTTAAAATTTATTCTTAAAATCACTACAATGACTTACAAATTGCTGGACTTTTTGTGGCGAGATTGTGAGTTGTTTTCTTCAGTTCCCATTAAGGCTGCATCTGCTGAGCAGGTCTTGTAAACAGGTTTTCTAGCCGAACACTCCTTGCCCTCACCACCGTTCCCAATCAGTCGTTGACTGAAGACTGCCAGCTCAGATGCACGACTTTCCAACTGCAATAAGGAAGTGTAAAAACTCTCATTTCTTTTTAAAGTGGTGGAAGAATATTAAGATGTGTGCACTCTAATTAACTGTAACATTCAAATTACTGCTATAGTACTAATAAAGACAGAAAGATTTCGCAAGGCTATATTATGCTTGGGAAATAAGGGATAGGTTGTGCCTATAGCTTCAACTGTATTAAAATCATATTCAACTTATGAAATTAAGTTTTCAGTAAAATTATTTTATAATTAAGGTGTTTCCCCCTCATGTGATATCACAGAGTTTTGCAAAATCTTTCACTGAATTATTGTAAATGTACTTTTTTATTTATTTATTTTTTTTATTTTACACGAGGTCAAAATTTCGCAGAAACACCTTTTTTCAGATTAATCTGAGGATACAAAATTACGCTATATTTTCTTGGCCATTTAATTTCTAAAATGCACTTGAAATTTCCATGGAAAAATTGTGACTGCAAACATATAGCATGAATTAATCCTGCATGGAAAAATGTATTATACAGTTAACTTATTGCATGAAAGAAATACATATTTTGTAGAAATCTAATATTTACAATTAAGAATATAGATTCATAAATGATACTAATAAATATTAACATTAATTAATATTTCCAAAAATTAAGTCAATCGATCATTACCAAATGATGAAAAGGGCAAATCTCTTGTTTCTGCATTCATGCATTTCTATGATATATATAATAGATATGATTTCTCTGATATTCACAATAAACATTCTATATATATATATATTTTTTTTTTTACTAAGTAGCCCTTATTTGAAACTGTCAAAAAAAAAGAATGATGTCATATGAACCTTCTTTTTTTCTTCATTATTAATTGTGCTGTTTATTGAAAATATGCAGTTTAATATCGGACAATGACATGTAAATCTACATCTGATTAAAAAAGGTGGCTTAGCCTACCTATACATTTCTTGTGATTGTATTTAAGTAAATTGAGTGGAAATTAATACTCAATTTTTCTATTTTAAACCCATGCGCATGTATGTGTTCAGGTGGAGGCACTGGTATAGGCCGAGTTCAACAATTTTTCAGTTTAGATTAATTTCATGAAGAAAAAGACAGAAAAATTCATTAACAAGTCTTGCTGGAATTGAACAACGCAAAACAAAATATAACTTAAATAAGTACCTGTCAATGAAACAGATGTTATAAATCTCTTAACGAATGGTGAAATATGAATCTTAGCTGTGATATGAGCTTTGAATAACTGCATGAACTTTAAAAATACAAATGGTTCATCATAGCAGTCTACTTTTAATGTGTAGCATATGGGTCCACTCTCTACATTTTGAAGATTTTCTTTCAATAAAATGGAGCAGGGACTCACATGTATAGGAAAATGGGAGTTTTATAAAACAATACTTTTATTTCCAATCACATTGTGGCATACCCTGCATATATTTAACTGTAAGTGCATACTGATATTTTTACAAAAATTAACTTGGTACCATTCATCAAAATAAGAAATCAACAAATGAAATGAGGCATCCTGATGTAGTTAGCACTTTTGTTCAATTCAAGTTTTTAACAGCTACATTTCAAAATGTAAAGAATTTAAAATCTCTCTTTGAGTAACCATAGCAATGCCATTCACTGAAATCAAAATGCCATATCAAAAGCATGTATCTTATGTAATCAACACTAAAAGTACTAGTTTTTTGTTAAAAAATAAATTCAAATAATGTAAGAGTAGTGGAATTTTGAAATAAGTTGGAGATTTGTTTTTATTTTTAAAGACCATTGCAACACCACTCATCAAAAATAAATATGAAAAATTAGTTACATCATGTATATTTATTATTTCCAATTCATTTTAAATCAGAGGAGACTTACAGGAAAAGTATTATTTTGAAGATTAATCCATTAACAAATTGAAACACCAAATATCCTGATGAAGTCTATACTTACACTAAATTTTACACCAAAACTTGACATCAAAATCCATAAGTATACCAAAATCAGACAAAAATTGTTAAAAGAGAAGTGCTTTGAAAAAATGTTTAAGCTAGCTTTCCTCGTATGTGATCAGTAGAGCTAAGAAAGGAAATTAATTTACATATTTGCCAAATTAATAGATGTTGCATAAATAAATTAAAGGACAAAAAAAACAAACAAATTCCATAATATTATGATCGAGCAACATGATCAACAAATTATTATTATTTCATCAGTTGATGAAATTTATAATAATATTATGCCTGAGGTATGAATTGATCAAATGATCAGTTTGATGCAAACAACTTGTTTACGTTTTCCGTTAAGTTGTAACTGGTCAACATAATAAGTCTGACCAGAGGCCTAATTGTAAAGCAATCCTTATATTTAGTATGACTGATCTATAATGAGACACCAGAGAGAATCCGTAACATAATAATATGATACTCGAACAAAGCCAGGTCACAAATAGAACCTGCAAAACCAACAATGCTTCTGACAAGGGCAGAGAAAAATATTTTCTCCATTCCTCACAGTCAATATTTGCCCATAATGAAATGAGACCTTTTATTGGCAATTGATCATATTACACAAGGGCTAATGGATACACAACTTGTTTTCCAGTTAATTTGTTCTAGGATCATTTGCCGAGAGTGCCGATTAAAACAAACAATTTTTGCTTTTAATCTGCAACCGTGCAAACAGGCAATACTTTCAGCAGTTCAGACTTATTCAAATGACAAATGAGATTTATCTTTGACTTACTTTATTTGATTCTAAAATGTTTCTGACTCTAAAAACACCTCCAAACATTATCAATTCAGAAACAGTACTATAGTTTACAGATCTTAATGACCGGTAATACATCTATGTTAAAATTTAAGCATTATATGCTAAAATCAAAAACAAGTAGAATATTAAGTTATTCTTTTTAACAATGAGTAGATTATTTATCATATTGATTTAAACAGAAAAGATCATGATAATTCATTAAAAGAAATCCAAAAGGTGAGATTCATAACTAACCCCCCCCCCTTTCCCCTTTTCACTTGATTACAAACTGTTCTTGACAATAAAAAAAAAATTACTTCTATATGAATTTAAGCATATATAATGTACTAAAATTAAAGAAAACAAAAGTAAACTTGAATATAAATTTATTCTTTTGCACATGAATATATTAAATTTATTACAAATCTAAAGGGTGAGATCATTAGCGCCCCCCCCCCCCCCCCCCCCCCTTGACAGTGAAATTACATTTTAATGGATTCACTACTACATACATAAACTAATTCTAAACCTGGCAGGGCCTACACTGTTAAAATACATTACTGATAACTTATTAATGTTCATGCTGTAGCTAGAAAGTTCACAGTAAAAGGGGAATAACTCTTATTGAATTGTGTGCATTATGGTTCATCAATTACAGCTCTTTACTTCTTAGTAAAAAATAAATATAATTTTAAGTATTTTTTTTGGACAATTACTGCTAGAACTTTTTTTACATAAAAAAAAAAAAAACAAAACACAAGGATAATTTATTAAATTTAAGCTGAAAATATGAAGTGTATGTGTTATTGAATCTTTTCCTTGAGTTTTTTTCATGGTGGTAATTAAGGCATTCATTTCACGATCGGGATCGAGCCTCGGGTTTGACTCTCGATTACTTGCTGCATCGCATCCAACCTATGACATAAACAAAGGTAGTCACTCTTCCTTCACCATGCAAATTAACCCCTGGCATAAGAAGTGAAAGTTACATGATGGCATAATAAAGAACCCTTACTGCTCATTAAGGCTCAGAGTACCAAGCATAGGTCCAAATTTGAAACCCTTCACTAGCATATGGTGATGTCTCTACATGAGTAAAAGATTCAAAAACAGAACAACCTATAACCAATAAATCAATCCTAAATGACCCTTTCATTTTTCTTTACTTCACATTGATAACTATTCAGCTACTATGGAACCTTTTAATTCATGGGTGCCAATTTTTGAAGACGTCAAAAACTTCTTAGGCTCATGGGAATGTAATTCTTTTGGGGACAATTCATTATGAAAGACATTGCTTATAGTCAATATTCATCAAGATAATAAATTGGTGGATTAAGGGGTATTAAAATGCCATAAAAAATTGAATCTCTAAGAATTATAATTCAATTCATGGTATATTAAACAAACTTCCTTACCCCTCTGAAGGATTTGAGGTGCATGAATATATGGATTTTTACTGGTTCATGGAGGTAAAATATTAATTTACATCAATATCACTAGAAATGCAATAACCTCTAATTATACAGAGAGTGAGAGCTTTAAGTATATGTAGTGACTGCATGGTCAGAATTATCTCTTACTGAAATATAACCCAACGAACAAATGTTACAAGTTTTCTGTCACTATTTCCACATTTATTCCTGTGGTTTCTGAAAGATTGGATAATAGGTGTTTATAGGTATTACATCTGGAGTGGGTAATCACCTGGATAAAACACCAATAAACATAGATGTTTTACATTTCCTCAACCAGCATTTAGTACATATAGGTCACTGTACTCTCTCTCTCTCTCTCTCTCTCTCTAGCTCTCGTAATTTTGGAAAATAAAACTTTATATTTATTAAATCTTGAGAATTAACATCCATAACTTTAGATAACACCTAACACTTTCATAAATTTTAAAGACGTAATTTAAAGTTGTAATTCGCTTTTCTTATCAGAAAATTTGAGAGGGGCAGGGTTGAAATTTTTATCAACATGAGGCTGTAGGAAGTTGAAACTTTCAATACTTTGAAGAATTTACATTGTCACCTCTCACCTCAACATTTCAAAAAAAAAATGCTTTTATCGAGGTACATTTAAAAAAAAAAAATGCCCATTCAAAAACTTTTTTTTGAAGGGGGGGCTATTCACAAGGATTAATTTGAATCTTATTACTTAATATTATTAAGTTTTAATACATTACTTAATAATAATTGGTTTTGTGCTCTCTATAGTTATTAAAAAAATTAACTTGATATAAATTTTCTATGATTGCATTACTATAACAAATTACCAGTCACCCAAAAAGAACACTTCCTCAGAAGCATTTACCAGGTAACTTTATTATTGTAAAATTGAAACAATACAAAATCATAGATAACACTTACTGTATCTTCATCATCTGTGCTCTTCTCCAAGAAGTGTGTAGGAATGTCTTTCTCACAGCCCGCACTCTGACTACGTCTCAGGGGTCGGGTAATCATGCGTCGGAACCGCCTCTTTTTGGAATCTTTTTCTTTCTTTGTGTATTTCTGTTCCTTGTTAGCCGAGATCTGTGTTGGTTGGGACTCGGACTCTGAGGCCTCAGTTGACGAGTCACAATGAAATGATGGTCTATTTCCTGAGGATACACTGTCAAACGACTTATCACAGTCAGTGGATCCAAACGAGTCTGCCGGACTGCTGCGATCCTCTGCCTTGGTGCGACTCATTCTACGCTCCATCATTCGCTGTCTCCAATTTTGTTTAATGTCTCTTATATCCCCGGTTTCACTGATTGCACATTTCTCCTTCAACTGACTGGATAAATCTGTAGATTTCAGTCTCATTTTGTTCCCAGGATTGGCGAGCTTAGTGGCAAAGTCCTGAGTATGCTCACTAGAATCCTGTTTGGGATTTGTTAAATTTTGCACAAAGTCATTCAAATCAGTGCTGATTTGTTTTGATATGGGGGAGGTTGATTCTTCTAAGTGGACTCCCTGAAAGAGGAAAAACAATCTTTAACTATTGGTGCTGATAGAAAAAAGAGAAACACTTGAAAGAAAAAGACAAGCTCTTTCAACACATGCCTGATCAAAGCTTTTCTTCCCCCTTCTTAACTGTCAAATCTTATCCATGGCAAGTTCTAAATATCCCAAACATGCTGGAATTTTCACCCTTATCAATTCTACATGTACAAATATATGAATTCCTCCACTTCATAAATTCATATAACATGTTGTCAGCCCTATTACATTTTGACAGGTTGCTAATTCTCCATCACAGATATTAGGAGATACATTAGAAAAAATATCAAAACATAATTATAACAACCATCTTACTCTCAGTGAACATATAAACCAAAAAAATTATCAGAAGCAAAAATATATACCATGTCCTCTCTGCTAAACGCATTTGATAAATGATGTCAATATTCTCTTAAAAAATGTGATACTGTCAAGAAAAAAATCTAGAGAGGAAATGCTAGCTGGCCCACCCCTTCCTGTACTTACCGCTCACTGTGTAATAATATGCCACTGTAATATTATAGTCGATCTATAACAGCCAAGTGGGGGCATATGCCACGCCAGGTCCACACACGACAAGTAATATCAGGCGTGTAATACTCTAACTGACAAGAATTATGAATGGGAGAAAAAAGGACAAGCCCCCTAATAAATCAATGGCAGTCTTTCTGGCCACAGATATAAACAGGTATGCTTGGCACACCTGGTCACTTCTCTTATATTGTTTTTCCTTTCCAAACATTCACACCCCCTACATCCTAAAAACAACTGGGATGTTTTTATTTTTTTTCTTTCAAGAACTTAAAAGGAGCCAATACAACAAGGAGTTACAACAGATCGTGTGACACATTTTTTCAGCTTCAGAGAATCTCAAAGGGATATTTTGTCACAATAACCTCTCCCTGAGTACAGTCATTGACAAACAAATCATGTTTACATGAGGTACAACATTAAATCTGCTCCCATGTCACCTCGGGACTTTCAAGTCTAATTGCTTCATTCATGAAATGAGCATTTTTGCACAATTTTTCATTTAAAGTTGATATGAAATTATACATGAATCACAGAAGTGCCTGTAAACATTATGCAACACGTACACCAGAATACCCACAAAAGAATTAGAATTATAGTTTAAGAATATCAAAGAATAAATGAATAAATAATATTAGCTAGTATACTCATTCTTTGATTAAAGTGTGTGATTAAAAAAAATTTAGGGGTTCATTCTGCAATACATTAAGTAGACATAAGAAATTAAATGCTAAAACTTAATTAGATTACCTTTCTTAATTGCTGGAAAATTTTCCAAAACAACATTTTCAAATGAATATTTTATCACTGTTATATCAACCTCTAAATTGATACTGAAATTAATTTTGATCTACATGTACTCTTGTTAAACCGAGATGTAATTTTCATCAGCTAAGAATACTTTTGACAGTTTTGGGGTGGAGTTTAAAGAATGACGCCATTTTTCGATGTTCCTGCACCTAATCCATCTGTAAAAATCTCCTTCCCTTCAATTTCACACATCAGGGGGGACATTTTCACCATCACTGAAAGACGGAATTGTCTAGGAGTGATATCCTACGTGATTTTTCTCACAGAAAATACTCCTGCCATAGCAGTCTTGTATTGATAAAAAAAAGATGACTGTATGGATATTAACAAGCAGACATACAATACATTGAAATATTTATGGTGATGTATCCAATTTTTTTATTTTAATTGAGATTTTAGTTAATCATGTTATTCATAAAAAAAAAAAATAACTGGAAACGTTTGTGTAAATTACAATCCCTCCACAAATCTTTAACATTTAATCCTCTCTCTTATACATGCTCACAGATGATCAGAAAGCATATATTAGTTAAAATCATTTATTTACGTACTGGACAGGACTATATAAGTACATGTATCACTCCCTGACATATCTATTTTTAACATCAAAGTTATACATGTACTAGATCATTATTATTGCTTAGAAATATTATGAATACATAGTTTGTGGTTCAGAATTTGGGTTTCTTTGCAATTTCCAGCAATGAGTGGTGGTGTAATTTTGGTCACATTGGTCGTCTCTTGATCAATCTTCTAAATTTGGTAACCATTAATCAGTTAATCCTTGGGGTTACCAAAAATTATCATGAATGATATGTCAAGCCATGTAACCAAGAATATTTTTAGAGAATGATATGGACATGCCTAATATGCAGCATAAATACATGTTATGCATATGGTTCCTTAATAATATGCTGACAAGCAAACCCCCCAACCACCTCCACCACCCAAACCCCTTTCACAATGCAATGCTATTTATGAGAAAAAGACCCCCCCATTTTCCTCTGATTCTTTTTGTAAATTTTTAAATTGATGTTTTTTTTCCAGAAATGAGAAAGACAACAAAAAACCTGAGGAACCCCACTTTCAAAGGGCAGTGATATAAGCAGCCCCCCCCCCTTCATAAAGAGTCAGAGCATAATTGCTAATTTCCATGTTTCTTCAAGTCACTGTGGAATCATTATTGTTTGTGGGGGGACCAATGTTCATGGATTTTGTGGATCATCCTTACCCACGAATTTATATCCCTACGAACGTTTATTTTGTAAACATACTGGTTCATTGAATCTACCGCATAAACTAGTAACCCATGAAATTACGTCCCCACGAACAAGTAAAATGTGGCCTGCCCACGAACATTGACCCCCACGAATTAAAATGATTCCACAGTACCTGAATAAGCTAAGACTCCATATGCTTAAAAATTACACAGTTAAGGTAAACCCATGTCTACAGGTCAGATTTGACTGGCCTGACCACATGCCCGAGGAGCTTTTCCTGTGCTTGACAACTGTCACTCTAACCTACTAACTAACCACCATTTCTTTAAGTGTGTACGTGACAGTGATCAGCATGGTTCTTACAGAATTCCACCACATGTGGTCGACACAGAAGAGACACAGCAGACACCATGCATGAATGTAGAGACACTAATCATATTGTTCAACCATCTCAGAGTTTAGAAGGGAACCCTTGTCTTAAGTTTACATTAATGGCCAGATTCATTCATCAGCACAAACAGAAATTTTTCTTCCTATTGATTTTAAAAATATTTCAATGTGTTAAAATACTGTTAATTAGAGCAATAAAAAAAAATATATAGACCACATATAAAGATAAAATTTTACAAATTCTGTTCATGCATGCATACATTATTATAACATTTCAAAGTTTTATTAACAAAAAAAAGTTTTTATTAAAATTGAAAGACTAAAAGAAAAGTTGAACATCAAAATTCATTCAAAACAAAATGAAGATCAAAATTATACACACTAAGCTAAAAAAAAGAAATTGAAAATTCTAAGAAATATATTTGAAGTAGTAGAGTTCTTACTGTGAATCCCTATTTTGTCATTTCATTGTTTTACAGAAAACCTTTTATACTATTCAGTCTTAGATTGTTGCATTACGCAAATAATCATTTATTAACAGAAATAAATAAACTGATACTACTGATTATCTGCTGCCATTTCACAATTACGCAATAATATTGGGGGGAGATTCAGTACACAATTGTGGCTATAAACAAATTAATCCTTCACCAAAAGTTTAATGAAATATTACACATTTTTTACTGAATAATTAATAAATGATATGACGTAAATAGGAAAGGGAGACCATATGGCAAACTGCATTCTGGGACCACTCATCTAATAACATCAGAGCACTGACACAGTGTGTGAATCACTATCAACTGATCTTCTATTGACGTTGTGTTCTGATGTCCTTTTACGATGTTGTCATCAAATAATTCAAAATATTTACACAAAAAGAAAATATCAGCCCATTTTTCCTTTGTTTGTGGTGTTCATTTATCTCAATCAACAGTAATTAAAGTGCCATATTGAAAAGACTAATGTGTATTCAAAAACTCATGAGACATCACATGCAAAATCTACGCATCACTTCATCTCAAATTTCATGTTGTCCTATATGTCGTATACTAACGTGATCATGAAATAAATATTTACGTTAGATTTTTAAAATTGTTTCTTAGGATTATGCAATACCAGGTATATATGGCACACAATAGAAACAGCAAGTACATTTTGCCTCCCAAAATGCCTGCTGAGTTCATCCAAAAAAAACCCCAAAAACTTCAGTGCTACAGTTATGTATAATTCCTATGTTTACAAACTCAGACAATGAGATCAGAAAATGACTTTTAATTTTCTTCAATTTAAAAATTATTATGGGGTGGGGAATGGGAAGCTATCTGAATGAAGCTTTTTCCAATTCACATCCTCAATTTTATTTTCCAAAATAGGATGATATCTTTACTATGTGAATTGGAGTTATATAATGTGGCTTCAAGTACTCATGTTACAGAAAAGCTGATGCGAGTTTTAATTTTCCACATCTGATTGGCTAAAACCATTTCCATCTGTTTGTTGTAAATAAACACAACAGTAGCAATATGGTACATTGGTTCCTATATTAATATAGATGATCAGATTATGTGTAATGTTACATGAATGATACAGGTTAATCTTCATAGCTGATTTATAAACCACCCAAACAAGTCTGTATTCCATAAGATAATATTTAATCAGCTAGAAAGCAATTTCAGTTTGGGGGGGGGGGGGGGGGGGGGCACAACCATAAATTTTCAGTTGGAGGTGGGGTGGGCACAAACATATTCCAAAAAATTCCTTGACAAGCAAAAAAGAAAAAAAAAGTCATCAGACATTTTTATTGAGGGGGCACAAGCGTATAGTAGCTATGTTTTCTATAGTATTCTATATATCGGCAAAATTATTGGGGGGCACCCCCCCCCCAAGTTTCTATGGCCATAAATTTCCAATATATCTTATTCTCGATTTTGAATAAGTCATAACTAAGCAAACCCTCTCTCTCTCTCTATATATAATGTATGTATAATTTTGTTGGTACCAATTCATTTAGAAAATATA